GAACACATCTGAAGTAAGTCTATTTGAGACAAGAAACCAATGGAATTACCATTAACACATATTATTAGCACGCACATCCTCACTAACACTATGTACCTATGCACTGCCTTTTCCTTCCAAATGTAGTCTATAGTATAAAAGTTACAGCTTAGATCTAGAACATCATGCCATCTCTGAAGCACAGATCATGACGTTTAGGCAACACGTACAACTCAAACGAGTTCACGACTAGTGTGAATCGTTAGTACTAAGTCAACGTCTTGGCGAAAAACTTGCATAATGACAAAAAAAATCGGTATAATGTCACTTTTAAAGTTACGTGATATCCGTGCCGGGCTAACGACGGGTCATTTAGAAGATTTTCCAATCTTCATTTGTATATTTTTAAGTATCGTACAACGATTTTGAGAAAAATTTAGCTACGGATAGTCTAGTAGAGTATATTTCAATAGTTGTCTTGCGTGGCCATGTTATTTTTACTCGGGCCTCTCAATTGAAAATACCGATCGTTTTTTGTGCAATGTACATATAGACTTTGAAGTTCAGTCATTAATTTTCAGATAATGATTGTAGAAGGAAGATAAACCAAAATGTGTGTAAAAAGAAAAAAAAATTAAAAAAAAATGTTACCTTGTTTTATCTATCCTCCCGACAAGTATTTCAGTGCGGACCTGTATTTGATCGTGCGGTCTTGGAGCACCGGCATTCCCTCCCCTGTGAGGTCTTAAGTCACCTGATTCACGAGCCCTTTGTACTAAATTAACAAAGGCACGAGGGGTTGGTTGCACTCGATTGGGAAACCGATCCGCATAAATCCGTGATGCCGCGGCAGCATTTTGTAAATAAGAATCATGTCCACAAGTTCAGCATTTTCGTAAACAGGTGCCATTTTTTATTTCGTTTGAGCCACGCAACAAACAAGACTATTCACTCACGCGTTACCGACTGACATATTGACTGAATACAACTGAATAAAATTGTAGTAAAAACATCGTGATGTTTCAAATTCTTTCGCTTTTTTGTTTCCGATGCGATGGACCGATAAGGCGGATTATATCCGTTGTTGCCAAACACGAGCACATAATACATATTATTATTGAGACAGGGCGGTACTAAAACTTCTAAAGGGCTATAACTTTGTTACTTTAATTTTACCAGAAAAATGTTAAAGGAAAAAAACATTTCTTTTGAATCTACTCACTGTTAAAATGAATGACTCAACTTCGAAGTCACCCTGTATATGAATAAAAACCAAGCTTCTGATATGACAAATGCGGTTCCTATATCTTCGATGACCTTCTCGCTCGTCATTTAAAATCAGGTGGACGTGTTTCTCCATTCATGATTTAATAATTTAACTCATTTTTCGGCACTGCGAAGACAATTTTTCAATTGACATGTTTTTTAAATGACATTAAAGATTTTTTCGCGAGTCCACGGTTTAACTCAGTGCACTACCGGGAACCGGTACTCAAATTTTCGCGAAGAACGGGAATAGGGGAAGACGGATGTGACGTCTCCGAATATCAAAAAATCACGTGGTACGGGTACCCGCCTAACGTCTGTGAGGTGGATGACAGGTCTTATGTCAATTTCATTTAAAAAACAGGCAGTGCCGAAAATTAAGTTAAATTATTAAATCATAAATGAAGGAGCACGTCCGCCTGATTTTAAATGGCGAGGGAGATGGTCATCGAAGATATATAAACCGTACTTGTCATATCAAATGATTGATTTCATTGATATATATGTACATTGCACAAAAAACGATCGGTCTTTTTATTTCAGATTCAAACAAGGCAGTTTATCAAGGAGCTTAAAGCAAACATTTTGCACAATATGCGCCATCTAACCACTCCCGGTGTAACTTGAAACTGTCACGACTTCGAGAGGAAGGGGAAATTCCATCTGTTCCCGCTCCGGGATCTCGGGAAAAATTCTCTATTGTTATAAGACCTGTCACCTGCTAATACCTCACAGACGTTAGGCGGTTACCCCTACGACGTGATTTTTTGACATTTGGATGACGTCGCATCCGTCTTCCCCTATTCCCGTTCTTCACGAAAATTTGATTATTGGTTCCAGTCAATGAATTCGAATACGAATACCTAGTCCGAATTCGTTGGTTCCAGTAGTGCACTGTGCTACACCGTGGACTTGCGAAAAAAATGCTTACTGTAGTATCTATGACAAGTAGTACTATTATGACTCATTGGGAATATAAATTGACTGTCTCATCTCTATACCAAAAACGTTAAAGCATGGAACATCAAAATGAAGAATTACTTTTGGCCATATGTAAAAGTCGAGTAGAAGGAAAATTCAAGATGGTAGATGGACAAATCCTCTATTTACTAAGCCAACAAGAATACACTTTCCAACATGGCTAGCAAATGAACACTGAGAAAGGTCAACATTCATATTTACATGTTATGAATTGTGTCTCTGCGCTTATTCATTTCTACGTATCTGTGCCAGGTCAGATGTCACACAAAAGGACAAGTCAAAAAATGGCATGGATTTGTCGTACAACGTAATCATTTATTCTATTCATTACTTTTATTGCTATGAGTAGTACGAGTATAACGATTTGGCAACGTGTGTCGTTTATTTTATATCGAATTTAAACAACTTCAATGGAACCGAATCTTGTAAGATAATAGACCTTAAAATTTGCAAAACTTTTCAAGCATAGTCTATTCAAATCTGCCGTGTTTAAAGCAAATATCGTATCTTCAAACTTCATACAAAACGAGATGGGATATTTTTAGTAAATAAAAAGTTAAAAAGCTTGTAGTTTAGTGAGCAATATGATCTGTATAAGTACGGGCCTAAGGAAATTGGTGATGGCAAGTAACTTTTCGAAGCATTTCAATTAAGCATGTACCAGTATAAACAATTCTACGTGGTGCTTAGTCTACACATACTATCGGTGGTAATACTGAATTATATTTTTTTATCAAAATGTGAGACAACTAAACGCGAATCAAATTGACATTTTTATTATTGTGATTTTTGTGAACGGTGCTGTTACCCTGCTGTTACTTTTCTGGCTCAATAATACTGCCGAACTTTGCTCCAATCGACTCCTTATTCCTTTTCAGGTTGCCAAGATCACAACAATAAGAGCGATAGGTGAACTTAATTTTTTTGATTGGCGGACATGGAATTTGATAATTGCTTTTAAATCTGGAGTTTCCAGGTTTTCATGTCTGGTAACCACTCAACGATTGTACGCGAACTTGGTACGGCACGGGTATAATGTAAAAAACCTATAACACGTCAAAAGAACGTATAAGATGTCATCTTGCAGACTAGGTACTCTTTAGGGTGCCAACAGTCATTCCACGTTTGCTCTCTAGGATCGTTGTGAGCGTCCAGCTATGGAAGAATGGCTCTATTACACGTATACACGCATTGTTAGTTGTATATGTTTTGTAAAGCCGAGTGGTCTATAGTTTTCATCGCTGAGTCTCTGAGAAGAAAGTTGGTTATTTCGTTGAATACCAAAATCGCATCTGGATGATTGTGTATTGATCTGCATGTGTATAAAATCAGTGATATTTGGTGTGTGAGAAAATCATTACTGAATATGCTGCCAATGAAGTATATCTATTAGCTGTGCCAGACGGATTATTTATATATTGTCCTTTCGGAAGACAGGTTATGTTCAAAGTTATCGATTACGATTTTTTACGTTTTTTGTGTTTTCAAAAACTTTGAAAATCACCATCGCGCCCGTGTTGTGTGTAATTACTGTTAGCACGTATATGACTTGTAATTCGACAGTGTACAGTAAATATAATTATTTCTTATCGCTCTCATTTTTGAAATTCAGCAAATTTACATATGTAATTTCCAAAATGGATAAGAAAAAGTGTAATTTCTAGCTTTGAATCTCAAGTAAGAGTATTTGAGACAAGAATCCAATGGAATTATCAACAACACATATTATTAGCACACAAATCTTCACTATGCCGTTACCTCCAGTAATGCCATCTCTGAAGCAGATTTTACATCACATCGTAGGCAAACCACAGAGTAATTTAGAATCTGTGGCCAAACATTGATAACTGAAGCCTCATGACGTTTAGGCAACACGTACAACTACAAAACGAGTTTACAAAAGGGTCTATCAGCTAGTGATAAGTTAAAATCTTGTCCAAAAACCTACATAATGTCAAAAAACAGTATAATGTCAAAAAAATCGATTGACGTCACTTTTCGAGATACATAAATCAAATCCAAGCGAATAACCAAAATTTCTGTGTTATGTGCCGCGGTTATAATATGGTTCAAGATGACACACGGGTTGATGACGTCAGTTACACGAATCGCTTGAACGCGTTGGTTTTAACCGCGGTTTTGTTGCAAGTTGTTTATTTTAGAACAGCGCGTATATAATCTCTGATTATTTTTATTATCACTTAATAATCGGTGCTTTTTCGTCTACAACTGTATATGGAAAGTTTAAATAAGAAACCTTTCATAATATTCATGGGAGAAATGTTTTTTCAGATTTTTTTTTTTTAATGATGGAACCATGTCTTTGTAGCTTTGATAACTTTCAATTCTCTAAATTTTTCCGCATGTCAAAGAAAACATTTATTGATTCAGCAGAAGTGATGAAAAAAGAAATATGCAAAACCGTATACAGGTGGATATCATCTAGTGAGTTTATATGGCCATATTTTAATATGCTTGTGGTATATGGCTACACAGGATACTTTGTTAAGCATTGGAACTACATTTAAAGTGTCCCCAACAACCGTAATGAGTATAACTAATAAGGTGCTCCACTTTATGGTAAAACTGAAGTCAGCCTGTATCATTCTTCTCAAAAATGTAGCTGAAGTACAATAACAATATCCAATACCCGGCAAAATTCTAACTTGTCACATTTCAAATAATAACCAGAAATATAAAACTACTCTTGAGTTGGGTAAATACCACAATTTTGCGGTGATAACTATGACATATAACAGCTGATTCGTGACGTCACGGATCTTATAACCAAACTGATAACTACATTCGCTTGAACGGATTGGTAAATACCGACCCAAAATGGTAAATACCATTTCCATTTGGTTATCCGCTTGAATTTGATTATACTTGTTACTTCGGATATCTATGAGTAACGAGTACTCGAATAAGGAACAGATACTTTTTCAACACCTCTGGTCCTCTGGTGGCAAGGACAGGGAATTTCGTCGCAGTTTTCCTCACAGATGATTGCCAATGTTGACTTTTGTCATAAAGGTAAAAAATAAACTTGTGGGGGACTGGGTGTAGCAAATTAGTTAAATAGTTTTTGCCCACAACGCAGCCAAAAATCAGAACTCATAATGCATGTATAATTCTGTAATACGAAACCATAGGAATTAGGATATGTGCAATCAATACGTCAAACGATAAGAGCATAGAAAATTGGCTACCTTTAACAAGAAAATGAATTTGGAAGATTCGGGGGACAGTCTCGGCCTAGGCGGGGAAACAATATATGGCACCCACGAAGATTCCCATGTGGTAATGTCCGAAAAAGTGCAAAGTTTGGCTGGTAGCATCTACCAAGAGTTCGAGCGTATGATAGCGCAATACGATGAAGACGTTGTGAAAACTCTCATGCCATTGCTTGTCAACGTTCTGGAATGCTTGGACGCTGCTTATCAACAAAATCAGGTAAGTCAAACCGTATGTTGCATGCACCGTTGATCAGTGATTATTCTTTGTTCAGGAGCATGATGTTGAACTTGAGTTACTCCGAGAGGACAATGAACAACTGGTCACACAGTATGAGAGGGAAAAAGGGGCCAGAAAAGCGGCTGAACAAAAGTTGCTCGAGTATGAAGATGCTGCTGAAGGTATCTTTCTATTACATTGTTACCATATTGCACTATCAAGAAAAAGATTATTTTGATTGGAAGAAATATATGTGTCCTTCATGTGATTCAACATCAACAAATGACCAGCGATTTAACTAGATATTTCATTTATTTATTAAAACAACCCTAGGAACAAGTAATATCAAAGCAGAAACAATTTTTTCAATCAAGAATGTTTCAAGTCTTTAATTTCTCATGTTCTTAATTAAATAATATACTTAAAGCTGAATTAAATGTTCCCTTTCCTAATTTTCATGGCTGCCAGTCTGGAGGTGGAGGTGTAGGGAGGCTATTGCCCTCCTCGAATTTTGGTTTCATTCTAAAATCTGCACATTTAACGAGATTCTGTGTACTGTATTTAAGATTTTCCTCTGCCTTCCTGCTTTTTAAAAAAAGGAGTTGATATATTTCCATAATATATAAAATGTTTCGTTTTGCTTATGTCTAATTGACCCCCCTCCCTATGTGGTGAAAAACTTTTCTCTAGATGCATATGCCTATTTTGTTGGGATTTTAACATTATTCTTAAATATCTTGTTATCTACAATATATAGTGTATTTTGGACATTGTCATACTAAACTCATTTATCTTTTAGCAGTATATATAAGGTGATAGAATTAATACACTGGGTATATATTTATATCTTACTTGTGCTGTACTTAAAACTAATCATTAGCTTGCAAAATATATAGAAACCATCTACTAATTTAGATTTCTTATAATAAGAATAATTATTTGACATTATGCCTTAAAAGTGTGTTTCAAAATAAAATATAGTATAATAGCATCACACCCTAAGTACTTAAAAATCATCAAATTGTGTGCAACAGTTACTGAAACTATATGCTAACAAGAATCTATATCAGATACTGAAAGAAATGAGTATCACATAGTTGATGTTTGAATTTTACCATGAAGAGTATTTTCCCTCAGAGACATTATATATTGGAGATAAAATGCTCTTCATGCATCGGCATCTTATAGGAAGTTTAAAGGTTGAAGCAAGAATAAGAAAAAGTGAAAGTTATATAAATGGACACAAATCAAATGAGAAGAAAGTACTACCATTTGCTTTTATTAACCTGTTAAGTAGATACTCTTCTAACATGCTTAAAATTAATGAATCAGTTCAATTAGCAATGGTAAATTAAGCTATAAGTGGTTCAGGCTATTCATTTCTTAGAATACACAAGCCAAATGACTATTGTTATTTGCATATTGAACTTTTAGATGCAATATACACTATGTATTATACAAAACATGGTTTAATTATAACATATTTATCTAGTTCAACTGTAATTTTATAAATTTGCTTATCACATTTGAAATTATAACAACAGAATTAATCCCCACAACTTAGAATTTTCAAATAAATATGTTAAATGCTTTATGTTGATATATCTGTATCCAAACATCTCACATATAATCTCATATATAATACCTACATTACTTTTCCAATGCATCTTCTAGTAATATTTTGGCTTTCGGTTGTTGATACTTGGCTGAATGATTGTAAGGTTGAAGCCTGTTGTGGTGTAATTAAAAATGTAAATAAATCCATCATAACAGCCAGTTATTGTTTTTTAGTTAATTTTCTATTAATTGGGGATGCTTTTTACTTCCCACGCCTGCAGGCGGGAAAGTATTGTAATAGCGAAAATGCGATATTATGTTTTTTGGATGTTATATTATGACATGATGTAGATTACGAACAACCGTGACACTCATTTCCGTCGGTCTGTCTGTCACTCTGTCTCCTAATCTTATAACTGCCTATTACTTGAGTAGTACTGCTCGGATTTTGATGAAATTTTTACACAATGTTACTACTATGCCAAGGGCGCAAAACTTTTGTAGTTTTAATTTTAATCAAAAATTTTAGAGGTAAAAAACCTGAGGTGGGTATTGTAAGGGGCTGGGGAGGGTTTATCTCAATTTTTTGATGCTGGTACATTTATACGCTCCCAAAATTGATAATCTTATGCACCTATTTGACATATTTTACAGATCATAGATTTCTCTATACACTAGCCCTGAAAATATTCTCGGGAGAGGGATCGCGAACCTGTCTGCCGCGGCTGCTACTGGCGTCGTGAGCCGACAGCGATGAGTGTTCTGATATCACGTATTTATGCCGAGCAACGGCATAGTGTTATCTGTGCTCTGACCGCGCTAACGTGGTGCCATGTCTGAGTTACGTATCGGGGAGAGGCGACGTTTCCAGATGCACTTATTATCCCGCGTGAACTAGGTTAGTCGGTAGATATGTGACCTCAGGGAGAGGTTCTTTGTACTTTGGTTTTTGATGCAAAGCGGTTGCAGTTTGGGCGCCACCTAGTTTGAAAAACTAGGAAATTAAATAACAAGTAGCAACTGATGGGTCTCTGAAGCTAATGAGACACAAGCTGACAAGGCACACAGACATTTATTGAACAAAAAAAATAAAGGAAGTTCTGGAGGACAGGCTAAAGAAAATTAATTTGTATTACCCCCATAGCTAAATGGTTTCCGGCAAATATTAAAATAAAAAAAGAAAAACCACCTATGCAGGATGTAACCTGAAGGTAGAACCTTCGAACAATGCGGGTTCACAAAAATGAGGAACTGCTCCTCACAGGCGTGAGTCCTACTTGAATCGCCTCGGATTATCCCTGCAGCTCGATGCTGAGTGTAGTTTTGTCCACGGCTAGATTTCCAAGAGGGTGAGAAAAAGGCTCCGACAAAAAAAAAACACCACCCTATAAATCCACAACTCTATGTGTAAAACTATTTCACAAAATCGGGTAGTGGAGACTAGAGTGCGATTTTCTACCACAAAATTATTAGACCAGGAGAAGTGTTTTATTACTAAAAATTAAATTCGATATTTTCAAGAACGGCTATATAATTATTATTCTAAATAAGAAAAACATTGTAATAAGATATATGTCAAGATGTAGTTAATTTTTAGTCGACCATAAAAAGAAACTGTAACACCACCCCCTTCCCAAAAGAAAAATTCCCGAATTTTCCTAAAATACAAGTAAGGAAATTTGAAAGAAGGTGATTATAGGGCCAGAAAAATTAAGTAATGATATTAAAAAGGAACCCCACGATTCGTCAAAAGTAACAATCCAACAACCTAAGCAAGGAGAGAGAATGAAATAACCCCCCTAAAAATTACAAATCTCGGCCATTCCACCACCAAAAGCCAGAAGATATTCCTAAGCCCATTCAGCATAGCGTTAATACTCTTACCAAAAACGTATATCTACCGACTGTTTAGCCAGGTTGTGCTTTACCCAAGCAACATTTGAAGCTTCGTTCACTGGCCACTGGCCTTATGCAGAATGAACCCAAAAAGGACTCCAAAGCTCCAACGGCAAGAAGGACGAGACGGAGGTAATGAGGAGAACCAAGAAAACTGAAAAAAAAAAGTTTAACCTCAAGACCCACCAAACAAGAGGGGTAAGATAGACCACTACCAGGCGGAAGCATGCACAAACAATTAATATAGGCATCAAAATCTTGGCCAGAAGTAAACAAAAATAAATAGGGAGTTCCATGTTCTACAACTGTAAACATACTACCAGAAAATACCGGGGGTATACGTCGGGGTTGAGGTGAAAGTACATTAGTAGTGGCCAGTTTTTGGTAACCATTTTATGGGGGTGGCAAAACACATTTCCATCTGAAATACCAACCAAACACCGCCCCCCTCCCCCATACTCGCCCTCTAGAACGTATAATTTTGTCGCACGAAAGGTAAGAACAAAGGGTTCTGGTACCTTTAAACACCCAATACAATACCCAAATTTGACCAAAGTCAATTAGTAAAGGGAGAAGAAAATGTGAGTACTGGCATTCCATAAGAAAACATCGTAGGTGTTGACATATCTAGCTAGAACTCCAACAAAACAAACAGGGTATTCCGTGTTGTGCCACTGTAAGCAGCCTACCAGAAAGAAAACCTGGGTTCACATCGGCTGATATGAAGGTACAGTAGAGATAATCAGTTTTGGCAACTATGCTACGGGAGTGGTTAATACATCCCATCTGAAATACTAACTAACCAACGCCCGTTTTATTCATCCTACTGAACGTCGGTGGATTTGTGGCAGCACGACAGGTAAAAACAAGGTTTTTGGTACTTATAAACACCCAATACAATACAACCTCTATAAAACAAAGCCAATTCTGATCTCAGATAACTAGCGAAGTTGAAAATGTGTACTATCGAAATTAGTAAGCAACAAATCATGAAGCCTGATATAGCAAGCTAGAACTTAGAGAAAAAAGCTGACATGTCAAAGTGGCTATCTATAAAAACTATCCTACCCAATACCCAAAAATCTTAAAAATAAAAGTTTGGCAGGTAAAAGTATGAGTTAAGAGTAGCATGACAACAAACCTAAAAGTAATTTATATAAAGATGTTAGAGAATACCACTCCCTAGTTCTCGGAGGAAAAGAATTATATCCATTAGTAAAGTTGTGTATGACTTTCAGTGTTTCGGTAACGCTGGCCAACACAGCCTACCAAACGCCCCTCTTCCAGAACAGAGAATAAATTCAATAACTCAGTAGGTGCGACATATGGTTTTAGATCTTGCACATGCAAGTCACCTTTAGATTTGCCATTGTTGTCCTCTAACTCATACACACAAACCAACGTTTACGTTTGATTCTAAAAGGATCTTCAAATTTGTTAGCCAATTTGGTAGAAAAATAGTTACCTGCATCAGACACCTTAAAACCAAATCATCAACGGCAAATTGAACATCTCTATGTCAGAGGTTATATTGTTGTGCAGGCCGCGTATAAGCCTTCTGTAATCTTTCCGACACTATTTTGCGAAGTTTTTCCAGGCTTTCTACTTTTCGATTTAAGTCCTGTCCATTTGAATCATCCGATTCCTTGAAAATATATTTGTTCCCATGAAGTATCATTTCAGTACCGTAGTTTTTGAAATAAGGAGTTTTCCCAGGACCTCATGAATG